GAAGTTTGCGACACCTGTCGGGAATGCAGAGCATGGGAACGTCCAGGAAACTCAACACTACCTTCGGTGAGCCTTCCTGGTAACTGGCTCGATGAAGGCGAAATGGACCTCATGTTCTACAAGAAACGGGCCATATTTCACATTATGGATCGTTGCATTCGCCTGGCAGCAGGCCAAGAAATTTCCGACAGAGAACGTGACGCTATCCTTGGCGCCTACCACTACTGCTGGATTGCCTATCGCGGACCCTTCAAAGTCCTATACTCAGACGGAGAAGGCGCCCTGAACAATGATGCCGCTAAGGCCATGATGGCCAATAAGGGCACGGAACTTCGCATCCGAGCACCTGGCCAACACGCGATTTCAATTGAGTCACGAAACGGCATTCTCAGAGGCGTCTTCCACATGATTGAGGAAGAGCTGAATCGACACAACATCCCTGTTGTATTCACTAGAGTATTGGCAGAAGGTATCTTCGTTACCAATGCCTTTACGTTTTACAACGGAGTATCGCCGTACCAAGCACACACAGGACGTCAGCCCTCCTTTCTCTTCCTGACCTCGACACCCTTGACTTTCCCAAGGGACCCGGGACATCAGGACACGAACGCGAACGTCGTGTAAGGGAAGTTAGCCTAGAAGCCATAACTCAAGCCACTGCTGTGGCCAAGACAAATCGTGCTCTTAGGGCTAAAACGGCTCCTGATGGTGCTCGCCTTTACTCTGCAGGGGATCTGGTAGACTACCATCGACCCACCGCCGCTAAGGACGATCATGGAGGCTGGAATGGCCCATTCCCGGTGATCCGTAATGTGCCTGAAAGAGGACATATTGTTGTCAAGGCAGAATCTCGTGAGGTAATTGTGATGTATCCTGATGCTCGTCACACACTATACATTGAATGTCTCCTCACACGGGAACTTGGCATGGATAATATGGCCATGCAAACCGCCCTCACATATGTGGCACACCTCGGCGCAGGGAAACCTGCCAAAGTTTTCGGCTATATCCCAGATTACAAGGGAAACCTCAATCTTTCAGACGACAGCAAGTTTCACCCGCGCGTACATCTAGCACTACAGTATCTCGTACGAAACTACTTCCGAGTAGAGCATGTAGTAGCAGTTAGATTGGCCAAAAGTGTGTCAAGCTTACCTGCAGTAAAGTACGCCACCGGGTCTACGCTGATCCACTATGACAACGATATCAGCCCAGCTTTCCACTACTACGAGTGTGTGGGCACCGGCCTAAACATTTTTCAGATCACTGGTAGCACTCATTCCAGACTTATTCAATGCTTGACTTCACGTGTCCCTTCCTTAGGATTCCACGACGACCTGGCTAAATATCAGCACTCAAGCAACACGTCTGGAGAACACGATTCGCCTGGAAACAGGCCTCCGCCAGATACCCCAGGTGCTTCATCGCCGCGTGAAGGCCGTCTGTCGACAATCTATGAGGAAAATGAGGAACACACTATCGAAGCTATGATGCTGGAAGAGTGGTACGACGAACTACGTATGGATCTTCATCCTACGACGACTACCGACGATTATCTCTACTGCGTCCCAACAACCATGCTGCCCGACCAATGTGTTTTGGTTTCAGCATCTGTGGACGAAGAAGATGTCATATCATTGGACACGCTCGGAGACGAGCCTGAACCACGAGAGTCTTGTCTAGTCTCTCTTTGCTCAACCACACCTGACGAGAGCTACTCGCTTGACTGTGATGAATATGGTCCTTACGTTTAGTTAGGTTTTACATCAGAAATGTCAAAAGTAGTGTTGGATCAGACTCAACTTGCACAGCTCGACATTGACATGGTCGCAACGATGAGAGTAGATGTATCCTCTGCTGCTAAACGCGCTGTAGTCGTTAAAGAAGATGACCTACTCACTAAAGCCGACATAACAGCACATCCAAAGGAGGTTAGTGAAGCTTTGTATACTGAGTTCAAAATCTGGATTGACAACCGATGCTTTGAGATGTATCATGTATCCAAAGCTTCCAACATCATGACATCCAGGTATGTATACAAGTGGAAGTTTGTAAAGGTGGGTACCGAGAACGTTAAAACCATTCGTCTCAGACTTGTCCTTCGTGGATTTATGGATACTGAGGCTTTCGACGTGGAAACATTCTCGGGAACCGCCCGAAGGCAGTCCCAACGACTCCTGGCAAGTGAGGCGGCGCGCCATCCCGAGTGGATCTTAGCATCCATGGATATCGACAAGGCGTTCCTCAAGGGTTTGACCTATGAGGAACTTGCCCATGCCACCGGCGAGGAAACTCGCACGGTCTGCTTCGCTCTTCCACCGGGAAGTGCCCAGGTACTTCGTGCACTACCCGGCTTCTCATCTTATGACGAAAGCCGACACTGCCTCAGGTGCCTCAAACCAGGAACGGGTACAAAGGACGCTCCAAGAGCGTTCTCTCTCAAACTTCGTGCGACCACACGAGCTATAGGCCTTGCACCGACCAGTTATGGTCCTGAATTTGAATTCAGCCAAGATCTGCTAACGGCAAAACATGTCGATGATATTAACATGACAGGCCTAGAGAAAAATATAAACGACTATGTACAGCGTGTCGACAAGGTGCTTGGCAAATGCAAGCTCAACAAACACTCATATACGAACTGCGCCGTTCGCTACACTAAGAATGATCAAGGGGGTGTGATCATGGATCAGGACGAGCATATCAAACAACTACGTCCTATCACACACCCAGAACTTACAGGAGCGGCGGCCGATGCCAAAGCCACGAAACTCATTACCGACATGTTCGTCAGCTTGCGAGGAGCCCTCGCCTATGCCCTTCTTACTCAAATCTGGCTCATGGTATACGTGGTCTCTCTCCAGAAAATCCAAGAGCCCACTTATCTGCAAGTCAGACGCCTGAATGCTGTGGCGCGAAAGCTGATCAGCAGCCCGAAACGCATCACCTTCCCTCGGATGAAGCCTACGAGTGAAGTAGACATCCACAGCGATTCGGGGTATCGGAAGCTCACCGGGGAGGAGGATGATGAGTCCAAGGGCTACGGCATACGCGGGGCTAATGTACTACGGCGAGGAAACTCGCCTCAAGGCAAGTCCGTCGTTCACCTCTGTGACGGACTATGCAAATCACACCGACTGCAGGTCAGGTCCAGCTATGCTGCGGAGGCACTCGCAGCTGCGCATAACCTTGATGAGTGTTACCCTACGCTCATCACACTCCACGAGCTCAAGGCAGGAGCTCTGACTCCACGACAACTACGAGATATGCGTGAAGTTGGAGGCCTAGCCATCAAAGTATCTCTTACCATAGACGCTGAGTCCGTTTATAAATCATTATCAAGCAAGGATCTTAAGATACCGACAGAGCGGACTCTGCTTGGACATATCAGTTGGATACGTGAGCTCATGGATATAGGTATAGTACATAACGTGCAGTGGTGTGATACTAGGATATGACCGCAGACGGGCATACAAAGGGAAGCATCGATCGGGAGCTGCTTCTGGAGGTAATGTCAGGCACTCAGTCATTCAAGTATGATGTGAAGCAGTTTGCTCCCTTTCGGGGTCCCGAGGACAGAAACAAACCTAAGTCTAATCAATGTTAGTCTGTCCTTGTTGCCCCCCCGCGGTCCAATCTGCCAGCATGGGCGCCTACTACAGAGGCGCCCTTATAGTTGCTCGGAAACGAGCCTTACATTTCACGCCTGGCAACGAGCCGGCTTTATATGACTCAGGCTCTTTGCCTTAATATCCATTTGCTCGGTGAGGTATGGCCCGTTTGGCTTACCTCTAACTGAGCCGATAGCCCTTTGTCGCTCGAAGGGGCTATCTTTTATTCGCGTGAAATGCCTTGCGAGGAAACTCGCCTTACAGTCTGGTGTTAGGCCAGACTGTACACACTGTTTTCTTTCTTGCAAGCAGTTGTGCGCGCGGCCCTTGCAGAGCCGAGCGGCTGCGCGGCTATGCTCTCCGTCTCCTCCCCTCCCGACTTTAAGGGTAGCTCTTTGGGAGATGTTATAGTTTCGGGAGCATAGTTCGCGCGCCGTTGCCTTTGGCTCAAGGCGCGCGCGCCCTATTTGCCCGGATACCTGATGGTATTCGCTATTTGCCCGGACACTTACCTTAGTGTTCGCTATGTGCTGGAAAGACCGATACATCGATCTTATCATATCCTACCCATCCACTCCCCATATCGTATTCCTTCAACATGGAATTGGATGCAATGTGAGCTCATCCGCCTCCCATGGAGACGGATGCTATTTGACCTACCAGGCTCACTGTCGACTTGTATATCACAACCAGCTCACGCTCGGCACGCCAATAATAGTTTCAAAAGCAGCTCGTGCTGCAGACAGCCTTCACTTTGCAATCCGTCAATTCTCTGTACACGGCGGCGGCCACCTTGAGCGAACTTCGGCACCTGGGACCGGCGTGTGGTGTGGTGGGACAAAAAAGACGGCCCAAAAAGGATAATTCGAGCTCACATTTCGAGCTCTTCGCCTCAAGGGAGACCCAGAGATTGCCAGCAGGCCCCCAAGGAACCCCCAAGATGCCCCCAGGACGCCCCAAACTTACTTGGAAGAGGCCCCCAAACGGCCCTTCAGAGGTCCCCGAGGCTTCAAAATTGCGTCAATATGCTCCCCAGAGGATCCCCAAGAGACCCGAACATGCATCCAACAGGCTTCTGACCCACAACCCAGGCACGGTGGCGGTACCCTCCCATGTCCTCAGCCTTTTTACATTTTGCCCCAGGCCATCTTCAAGCGAGCCACACGAGAGTCCCAAGAGACGATCTCCAAAAGAGAAACAGCACGGCCCAACGATTCCCCAAGAGACATCCCCGAGAGACACTCCCCAAACACACACACACACAAGCACGCTTACCTCGTTCGCAGACATGTGGCTCAAAAGTGCTGCTTCGGAGCTTGAACGTGCATCTCTGACCTCTCTCTTGTCCTGGCAAAGCGGCAGCTCGCCGATCGGCGGCTGTTAGAGGATATGGTCCCCGACGGCGGGATCCTGCAGAGGGTGCCCGTCAATGCGGTGCAGCCCGCGGCGCAGGTCGCGGCGGTAGTCTGTCTGGTCTTGCTGTTGGGGAAAGATCTATGGAATCTTCGCGCAGGATCTGGCTCGTGCGGGTGCGTGGCCAACTTGAAGGAATTCGTGCGCACGCTCGCGAGAGTTCTCCGCGTCAACTGTGCCAGAGACCACGACGTGTCCTCGAAGCGGGCACAGAGCAAGCGCATGGCCATAGGCCTTCTGGTCTGCCAGTATGCCAAATGGCCCCTGATGACCATTCCCTTTTCGAGGTTGGATGATGAAGGGAACTTTTTCCTGTTGCATTACACAGCTTTCTTCATATACGCATCTTTCGTGTCAATTGCTCCCAGTCGGCACGGACGTCGGGTACAGCATGCAGGGTACTCGGTGTTCATGATATCGTATTGCTTGGGGCTATCACCGCTAGTGATTACTTCTGGGTATAATCCAGAGTGGTACATACGGCGGGCGTTGTGGGTTTCGGGGACGTTTACGTGCTATGACATTTTCTTACCCCTCAATATTCTTGGGAATTGTATGATCTGGGGGTCCCTTCTACTAACGGCACACGTTCACGGCTCTGGAGCGTGCAACAACGAAGATACCATGGGAACTATTATGGCATGTTTTTTAGGCATTTCCGCGTGGACAATTCTGTGTAACGTTATTTTCATTCAGGGGGTGTTTGGCGAGATGCAGACGTTGACAGCCAAGAGCGAGCTAAAGGCTGCAAATTCTATTCTCCAGGGCACGTGTGACGCTGTGATAGTACTAGACCAGGAGCTGAAGGTCACTCATGGCGAGCAGTCCCTTGCGAACATGCTGATGATGACCCCATCAAAGGTCCAGGGCGAGAGCGTATTGACCCTGATCGCCGAGGAGGAACGCGAAAGATTTGCCGGGATGGTGCGTGACGCCCGATCCAGCGCGATGCCGGGGCCTTGCACCGCTTTCAACACCTCCCTGAAGGACAGCGCCGCGATCCCGTGCCGAGCCGAGGCGATGTGCGTGAAGTACCTGCAGGCCGACGGCGGGAACGAGTCGTTCCTGATCGGCTTCCGAGAAGCGCCCGATCTGCCCGCGATGCCCTTCCCGACAAAGTTCCCGAGCCCCGCCCCGCGGAGCGGACGCCCTCGCCCCCGGCAGCCGCCCGCCGCGCGGCTCGCCGAGGCCCCGTCGCGGCCCCTGGGCTCTTCCCGGGGCGAGGGCGACCTTGCTGCCAAGGACAGCTTCCCGGATGGGGCCAGCTCTTCTACGGATCAGAGCAGCGACAGCGACGGCACAGGCACTCGAACAGGATGTCGGCCACCCGTCGTGTGGTTCGACCCCGGCTCGATCGAGTTTACGCTGGTCAAGAGCAGCGCCGAGTTCAGGATGCTCACCGGCTTCACCAAGGAGGAGATGGCAGACTTGGGAGGTGTTCTGACGTGGGTGCGCAAGGAGCAGAGGGACGATTTCGCAAAGTGGGTGCGCGACTTCGCCGACAGCAACCAGAACAGGGTGAGCCGACATTGCGACGCTGTTGCAGGAGTCAAGTTCTGTATCGAGTGCGAGAAGCACAGGGCCCAGTTCGAGGCGGAGGTGCATTTGGAGACTGGTTGGTCGGATGCCGATTCCAAGACCTTCAAACTTGTGGTCCACGGTTTTCGAGCCAAGGAGAAAACGCAGGGGAAGACCAGGAGAATTGAAAGGACAAATGATGATTATTCTGGTTCCGACGGGACTTCATCGCATCAGGGCGACAGGAGCGTGCGCGGGCGGCGCGAGCGCGACTTCGTGGTTCACGACTCACTGCTTGAGGTGATGTGCGACGTCGGGGAGGGCGATAATGATGATGACCCATTGATGATCACGAGGTCCATCAGCCCAGGTCTCCAGTTGCTTCTCGGCACGGCCGAAACAGGGCAGGATGTGTGCTACCTGTTCTCCACGGCGGAGAAGGACCACGTCGAAACTTGGTTGCACGATGCGTATATCAGGCGGTCAGACGGTGGTCAGACTTCCGCCGCAAGCAGCCTCTGGTGCTTTATAGCAGTGCCGGCTCTGGAAATATTAGGCGTCGCCCTTGAGGTCAATTTGACAGTTAAGTTCTCACGCGCAGACACCGGCATGTGCCTGGTTGTGCAGAGGCTGCGCTGGTCGCCCCTCAAGAGGCGGGCCAAGGCCCGCGTGCGCAGTGTGCCGAGGGCCGACGGCACGCCGGCGAGGCTGCTTTCGGCGAGGCTCTCAGCGGCGGGCGACGGCCTGGCGAGCTTATGATGCTCGTGAGGGAGCTCGGTCGTCTCGGCTGCGAAATAGCCTAGCGAGGCTGCGATGGCAATTCGGCATTGCCCTTCTGTGCGCTAGTCTGGACTGCTTCCCAGGCGCGTGTTTCGTGCAAGCGGCGCAGTGGGCTCATGGTCGCCGTAGTGCGTATTGGCTTATGGGTCCTTGACACGCTTTGGAGTCATCCTTGGCATATCTGCCGAAGAACATACACCACCAGCCTTGCTTGGTGCCGTTCTTCGTGCTGTTTGGATTCTCCCGAATTCGCAATTTGTGTCCACGTTCTGATCTACGATCGTTTGCTCCTGCTGTGTAGCTTGACGAAGGCGCCCAGGGCAGCGGCGGTGCGATAGACCAGCTTCCAAGCAGTTGCTTCTAGGCGCTCTGCCCAGACCCCCCCGACGTCGTGATTTCTTTTCGCAGCGTTGACCCCCAGAAGTCTGGACCCCGTCCCCGGGACCGGTTTTTTGTCCCGAGCCGCTCTTTGACGGTCCCGAGGGCCGGTCAGGTAGGGGGCCACATGCGAAGCCTATCCCTACCCCCCACAATTTCTGAGGGGGAGGGTGGGGTTCACTTCGCTCGGGAGCTCCCGAGCGAAGTGAACCCCGCCCTCCCCCCTCAGAAGTTTTGGGGGTTAGGGGTAGGCTTCGCATGTGGCCCCCTATCAGGGCCTCTGGAGGCTGGAAATGTCGAACAGCCTCCCGTCGTTTTTTTTTCTTCCTCTCACAGCGCGAGGAGGTCTCGGTGGGCAGCGGCGGTGCGATCGACCAGCACTCAAACGACGCGAAGATCGGGACAACATCGGATCGGGATAACTCGAAATCTCTGAGAATCGGCGGGCTTGGAGGACGCATTGGGCGCCGCGGCCGCTCTCAGAGCGTTCTGGAACGCTCTGAGAGCGCTCCGGAACGCTCTGGAGCGAGTTATCCCGATCCTATAGCCCTGTTCTGAGCGGCGGCGCGATCGACCAGCACGGCCGCCGCGCCTTCTTTACGCGGCGGCGCGATCGACCCTAGTAGTAGGAGTGGCAGTATAGTAGTAGTAGTAGTAGTAGTAGTAGTAGTAGTAGTAGTAGTAGTAGTAGTAGTAGTAGTAGTAGTAGTAGTAGTAGTAAGTAGTAAGTAGTAAGTAGTAGTAGTAGTAGTAGTAGTAGTAGTAGTAGTAGTAGTAGTAGTAGTAGTAGTAGTAGTAGTAGTAGTAGTAGTAGTAGTAGTAGTAGTAGTAGTAGTAGTAGTAGTAGTAGTAGGTAGTAGTAGTAGTCGTAGTAGTAGTAGTAGTACTTGTAGTACTTGTAGTACTAGTAGTCGTAGTCGTAGTCGTAGTCGTAGTCGTAGTAGTCGTAGTAGTAGTAGTAGTAGTAGTAGTAGTAGTAGTAGTAGTAGTTAGTAGTAGTAGTTGTAGTAGTAGTAGTAGTGGTAGTAGCAGTAGTAGTAGTCGTAGTAGTAGCAGTAGTAGTAGTAGTAGTAGTAGTAGTCGTAGTAGTAGTAGTAGTAGTAGTAGTAGTAGTAGTAGTAGTAGTAGTAGTAGTAGTCGTAGTAGTAGTCGTAGTAGTCGTAGTAGTAGTAGTAGTAGTAGTAGTAGTAGTTAGTAGAGTAGTAGTGGTAGTAGTAGTAGTAGTAGTAGTAGTAGTAGTAGTAGTAGTCGTAGTAGTAGTAGTTAGTAGTAGTAGTAGTAGTAGTAGTAGTAGTAGTAGTAGTAGTAAGTAGTAAGTAGTAGTAGTAGTAGTAGTAGTAGTAGTAGTAGTAGTAGTAGTAGTAGTAGTAGTAGTAGTAGTAGTAGTAGTGGTAGTCGTAGTCGTAGTAGTTGTAGTAGTAGTAGTAGTAGTAGTAGTAGTAGTAGTAGTAGTTGTAGTAGCGGTAGCAGTAGCAGTAGTAGTAGTAGTAGTAGTAGTAGTAGTAGTAGTAGTAGTGGTAGTAGTAGTAGTAGTAGTCGTAGTAGTAGTAGTAGTAGTAGTAGTAGTAGTAGTAGTAGTAGCGAGCCCTGCTTTAAGCGGCGGCGCGATCGACCCGCACGGCCGCCGCGCCCGCCAACGCAGGGCCCCGCCCGCCGCCCCCCGAGGGCCCGGGGGTGAGACGGCGGCGCCGGTGCCAGAGCTTCGGGGGGGCTCGGCCAGAGCTTCGGGTGCGCTGCGCGTGAAGGCCGTGGACCTTCCCGGGCATTCGACGCCTCCGCGGGCCGAACGTGGTCAACGGGGCCGGGCGCCCCAGGGATGGGAGTTGATCCTGCCCTGCCACGGCCTGCGGAACGAGAAACTCCGAATCAGCATACCCCTCGCCCTGATTGCAGCGACATTGCCGAATCCGATGAGAAAAACAAAAAAGACGTCTCTGGTGCCTCCCCGCCGCGCGGCCGCAGAGGAGACGCGAGATATCCCGCATCTAGCTGCCTCTGCTGTGGCCGCCGCGCCCGCGCGCCGATCTGCCGCGGCCCCCCGCGGGGGAGCACCCGCTCGCGGCCCCTCGCGGGGGGCCTCCGCGGCGTCGGTGCGCTCTGACGCCCAGGTGCGGGCAATGTCTTTATCCACATCCGGTGCGTCTTGGAGTCTCGGGCTCGCATCCCAAGAAGCACGAGGCGCACTGGGTATGGATTATAATCTGCCCCCCAAAAGGCGCAATTTGTATCCATATCCAGTGCGCCGCCGCCTTGCGGCGCCCCTTCCAAGAAAGTCCAAGACGCACTGGATGTGGATATAAATATTGCCCGCACCAGGGGCCGGACGTGTGGAGAACAGCGAGGCGGAGGTTGTCTTTTGTCGCAGCTCTCGGCCTCGATGGGGCCCTCGCCGGGCCCCAGGAGCTTCCAAAAAGCGATTCGGGATGAAGAGCCGTTCCCGGGGAGTGGGTCGAGACATCCTGGGACCCCGCATCTGAAAGATCACGACATCGGATCTCTGGGTTCGATACGGAGCACGACATTTCGCCTCCTGCCAGGGTGTCCCGAGGTGCCCCGACGGCCGCGAGGCGCGGTCAAGAGGGGGTCCCGGGGGGCGTGCAAGGTTGAAGCCGCAGTGTCCCGAGGCGCCCCCACCCGCCGCGGGACGTGGTCCAGGGGGGGGGGGCCAGGAGGCGTTTCAGAGCAGCGCATAGCGAGGAACGAGGAGGTTGGTTGGTGCTCCTGGTTCCCGCTCGAGTCTTCACTCTCTGTCACTCCCTTTCCCTCTCTCTTGTCTCCTCGGGTATTCCCCCGTTGTGTCCTGAGGCGCCCCCCCGGCCGCAAGACGCGGTCAAGGGGGCAGGGCCCGGGATGCGCTCAAGGTCGAAACCGTGGTGTCCCGAGGCGCCTCACTGGCCCGAGACACGGTCAAGGGGAGACGGCCGGACCCGTCGGATCTGCGCAATTTCTCTGGTGGAACAGGCGGTCCGGGATGACCCAGCGACTATACCCGGATTTGGGACCGCCCGTTTCGCCGGCGATTCGGTGCCTTTTGCGCCGGCGGGGGGGGTGCCCGATGCGTCCTCGGGGCCCCTCCTTCCTCGCTGACCTCTCTCCCCTGCCCCATCCATCCCGCCCTCCTCCTGCTCGCCTTCTCCTTGACTTTTCCCGGGGCGACGGCGGCCAGTTCGCCTGAGCAGAGGTTTCCCGATGACGCCCGGGATTGGCCCTCGGAGAGATCGATGTGGCGGCGAGCTGCCCCATCGATTCGAGTGGCCGCATCGATCAACATGAGTTGCCCCGCGTGGCCCGAGAGGTTCGGGCCGGACGAAAGGGGGGGATTGGGAAAGGGGGGGGTACGAAATTTGCTGCATGCAGCTGGTTTCGGCCCCACCGAGGGGCCCATTCCTCGATACATTGCCGCCTCCGGCGCCGGGAGGCGCTGGGAAAATCAGCTACGCGAGCTGATTCTCAAACCCCCCCTTTGCTATCCCCCCCTGTCGCCCGACCCGAGAGGTCTTGACCACCCAGGGTGGCGCCGCGGTCCGGGATCATGGTGGAGGGTGGGTGGTCCTCTCATCAGTGCGAACCTACCCGCTAGGGCAGCATGTGGAACTGCATCCTTCTGGGTCACGATCCGTGTGAAGGGTGTGCCGAGATGGGCGGAGGGACGCGTGTGAACTTTGTCCCAGGCACTGTAGGTGTAGCTCCTGGGGATGGCGCGATCCGTGTGAGGGGCGTGCCGGAATTGGCGGGGCGATGCTATGTGATCCGCGTAATTGGTACTCTTTAACCGCGAGTTAAAATCATTTGTGGAGTCAAAGGTTGCGGCTTGCTAGAGCCTGGGGTGCGCTTCGTGCTGCCGCCACCGTCGCGGTGTCACCGTTGCTTCCGTTTCGCTGCGGGCGTTTCTGTGCGAGTTTGGTGTCGCGCGCGCCAGGCGCCACCCCTGCCAGGCCAACAAGGGGTTTCTTGGAGCCCACTTCCCTACGGAATCCCCTTGCGGCACCCTTGACCCAACTCTTGGGGCTGCTCGTGAGCACTCGCGGCTTGCTTTAGGGCCGAGGGGGCGCTTCCTTGGACAATCTCTTTCTTCACGCTGTCTTCTGGCGTTTTTGGGACGCCTCTTGGGTCCCTCCTGTGCCCCCGTTCTGGAGCCTGCTTCGAGCTCCTTGGGCCACGCTTGGGCCCCCTGGGAGCCCCTCTCGGGGAACTCATCGGCTGTTATGGGAGGCCTGGGCCTTGTATTTTGCTCCTTTGTTTTGCTAACTTGCGCTTGTATTGTTTCCAACTGCGTTGGGCCGCATCTGGTTCGATTCTATGGCAAAAGGTTGCACTGCGCGCTGCTGTTTTGGTCACCCCATCGATGTCACTGGAGGGCTTAGCTTCGCATCGAATCTATACACACATATATATATATATATATGTATATATATATATACATACATGTGTATATATATATATATGTATATATATACATACGTATCTATGCAACTATATATATATATATAGATACATGTATGCGAGTGTCCTTGTCGTCAATTCGTATTTGCTCCGCCCGCGTTATCGCTGAATGATACCCCATGCTCAAACCATTTGTGGGTAATTACTTCAGTGGCTAT